TATTTGTGAACTGAATTCAATTTGAAATGGTTGGATTTTGTTTTCCAGATACCCCAGGACATGGGAGTGGATGGGCAGAAACTCCTCGTACTGATCGAGGGGGTGATTCCATTGGTGAAACGCCAACTCCTGGAGCGAGTAAAAGAAAATCACGTTGGGATGAGACACCGGCAAGTCAGATGGGTGGCAGCACCCCTGTATTAACACCAGGCAAAACACCAATTGGTACACCAGCTATGAACATGGCAACACCTACACCAGGTAATTTCAGTTGCCTTAATAGCCAAAAATCTAGTTATGTCTGCTAGATTCAGTGGTATTGTATGAGAAGGGATCTTTGGCCAGTAGAATTTTCATTATTCTTAAGTTTAATTGAAGTGCACATGCACACATCTGCCCTGCTTGGCACTTGCCTTGAATAGGAACATACTAGAGCATTCTGGAAAAAGGAATGTAAGGAACAAATGAAATCCTATTCTATAATCATAATTGCTTAATGCTGAAGTTAGCCTGAATATCCATGATACTGTCATACTAATGCTTCATATTTGTGCTTTACTCAAACTTCATAGTTATCAGGTGAAGTTAAAGCGTTTTTAGAAACATACTACTTATCACAATATCTTGAAATGACCAAGAATTTTCTTTAAACTATGCATGTTGTCTCCATGTACTTCATATATTGAACAAATTCTTTATAGGGCACATAATGAGCATGACTCCTGAACAACTCCAAGCCTGGCGATGGGAAAGAGAAATTGATGAAAGAAATAGACCTCTTTCTGATGAAGAGTTGGATGCGATGTTTCCTGAGGGCTATCGGGTAAGGAATAAGCCATGTACAATTATAGTATCTGTGTGATAAATTCAGTGTATAAATAATCTACATATCACTAATGGGAATAAAATATTTTGATTCTATATGAACTATGAAAAAGAAATATCTTAAAAGGCCGAAGATTCTAAAATTTAGCATGATCTCGAAAATTAGACTGAACTTCAAAGATCAAAGAATGAACCAAAGTA